ATAGGCTACTGATTAAATAGAATCTGGTGGAGGATTATAGTCTGTACATGCACGTTGTCAAAATTGGTTATTGAGGAATGAGTAATTGACAATGATGAGATGCAGCTGCCCTGAAGAAGGAGGGATGGGATAGTCAAAGGGAGGGAAGGGGCTGCACCACCAGCTGGCGTAAAGCTGAAGGGGGCTCAGAGCTGATGGCTTCCCTGAACTGAGGTCATTTGCGCTCGGTCTTGTCTCTCGTGAGCACGCATGTCCCATGCTCAGGATCGCTGTGCCTTGGAGTCACGGGACTTCCACTGTGCCACGGCTGTGCATGCCAGGGTATAGCATGTCCTCTATCCTTTAGCAAGGCTAAGTAAACTTGATGCTGGGTGGGGTCTATTTTGTTTTGAGAGTTTGTCTATCTGAATCCAAATCCCTTGTGGCTGGTAGAGCAGAGTGGACAATGCAACTACCGTAACCATTACATCATACGTTGTAAATTTTTAGATTCGTAGTCATAGTGTTTAATTCACAGCCGTGATAAACACTTGATGGAAGGTTGGAAACATGAGGCTCATTGATGTTGAAATATACGCTTAAGAAGATACAGGATAATTCCTTAGATATGCCTCAAGATGTTCTTCCCAGATATGTAAGTTGCATTTATCTGATCGAGATCTTTATCTTACTTAAGCAGCCAGTACCAAAGAAAAATATGGTGGAAATGACTCCCATTTGGCTTTCTATTTATTGGGAATAAATACTATCGACATCTGTAATGTGTTATTTGTAGAGCCATGCTTGCAAATAGCAGCTGAAAACATTCTCTCTAAATTTGTCATTTGAAAAAAAAAGTTCATGAAGATTATAAAAAGAAGCTAGTTGACTTTCATCTCAAAATATAAGAATTCTAAGCATCTGATAGATTGACTTCTTTTTGTCACTAATCAAGACTATCTACAAGCACTTGAAGAATTGAACGTAAGTTATGAAATATTTTGAGAGAGCAAAAGTGATTTCATTCAAGTCCCAGCTCCGCTGTCACCTCTTTGGGGGCCTGGCTGAACTACTCTACCTAATGTCTTCCTCTGGCTCCTTCCCTCTGGGTACTTTCCACCCAACAAGTCAAGGTTCTCCATCTCACTACCCTCATTTATTTTTGTACCCTACCACATTCCCCTCTAGAACGTAAGCTCATGTGGGCAAAGTCTGTGCTGCTTGATCACCGTGTCCCTCCAGTGCCTAAGAACATTGTCTGGAACATGATAGCCTTTCAGTTGGAAGATATCAAATATATTTAGATTTTATTTCAGATATGAAAGGTAGTTATTTGGTAACAATTGGCATAAATGGAGTATGGTGTGCATTTTTCCTGCAACATGGTATCTTGACAGATTTACAATACCAAGTATTTATATAGTCAGAGAATATGCTGTGCTTTGCAGTTAGAGACCCCTGGTGATACTGTACCCATGACTTAAATATAGATTGAGTTTTAAAACCAAAGGCGGTGACTGTGGAAACTGGCTACTTAGATCTCCTGCCGAGGGGAAGGTAGTTGACTGGCAGCTCCAGCTGCTCCTCCTCCGGATTCATCACTGTGTTTGCACTGAAATTTTGCTTCCCCTGGGCTGCTCCCAGCCAACAACCAAGCATGGTGGGCATCCTAGTGGGAAGTGGGACTCCTCGTTGGCTGGGTTCAAACTTCCTTGGAACTACACTGCAGTCTTAGACTCTTCCTCCCCAGTCCTCCTTCCTTCCTTCTTTCCTTCTGGGAGGTCCAGCCAATGAGAAGCATTGGCAGAAGTTTGGAGAATTGGAGGAAAGGAAAAACAAGGGTCTTTCTCCTTGACACCTCTGCTTCCTGTGATACCTCCAGCAGCATCTCCTCCAGGTCTTCATCTCCCTCCATGTAATATATCCCTTCTCTCTGTGGTCCAGTCCCCTCCAGGCTGCCTCTACTGAACCTGTAGCCCCATCCAATGGCCACTGCGATCAAACAATTCCTGTTGGCTTGGGGACTGACAAATGCACAAATTCCAGGAGAAAATTCAGAAAGAGATGCTAATTTCTAAGAATTTAATATTTCAAAGAGTAGATTTATAATAGATTATATAATAAATGTTACTCATATTGGAAAAAGTATGTAGACGTATTTTACTCCATATAAAAATTAAATCCAATAGATTCAAGACTTAAAATGTATTTTATTTTAAAGTTAAAATATAGGAAGGTATAGGTATAATTTGGGATAATGGCAATGGTTTGTCACTGCATTGCTTATCTATTGCCATGTAACAAATTACTGTTACATGTAGCAGTTTAAAACACTAAACATTTATTATCTCACAGACTTTCTAAGGATCAGGAATCTCAGTGGCTTTGCTGAGTGGTTCTTGTTCAGAGTCTTCCATGAGGTTGAAATCAAGTTGTTGGCAAGGGCTACAGTCACCTGAAGGCTCAACTGGGACTGGAGAATCTGATTCTAAGTGCACCCATATGGTTCTTGGCAGGGTTCAGTTCCACACCGGTCATTGGCAGGAGGCCTCCATTTCTCCCCATGTGGACCTTTCCATAAGGCTCCTCACATCATGGTAGCTTGCTTCCCTCAGAGTGAGAGATGGGGGGGGGA